ATTAAAATTAGAATTTAAATTAAATTACCCTTCTGCTAATGGGATGTGATCATGCCACAATCCCGTCTTCGTTTCTCTATCTCATAGGAATTTGGGACACAGAGATACATGGGCCTGGTTTGTTTTTCAAGCCACCAGGGGCCAGGATTCAAATGACAGCCAACCAAGTAGGATCTGGCTCTGTCACTAGGCTGTGGGCTGACCCTCGCCCTCTTTTTAGTGTGCATTGCAGGCTTCATAATCACTTTTACCTCTCCAAATTTCTCATTCTGTTTTCTTCTATGTAATTAGGCCTCTCTCAATAACATTCTTCTCCTTGTTTTTATGGTCTGTAAGTCAATACAGGGCTCTTCCCATCATTTCTGCAGCCAGGAACTTTCTCTGACCACTGCTCTTTGCTTCAAGTAGCCAGCCTGACTGCCTGACTGGCCAGTACCTGACTGATCTTCCACAATTCTATTCTCTTTTATTTTTGTGTTTATTTTGTAGCTGATCTGGTCTCTGGCACTTGCAATGCTCAAGTTTTTGGCTGTCTGTTTGCCTTGTTATTGTCCCTATTGTCAGTTAAATTTTTTTTTTTTCATATAGGAAAAAGCAGAATCACTAACACCTAGGGAAGAGAAAACCCAGCAGACACTGGGGCTGTGTTGCAGGAACTTTTCCTTTACTGCAAATGAAGGGGTAAGACAGGGCTGCTCGAACCTGGACTGCTGGGTTCGACTCCCACACCCACCACGAGCTAGCTGTGTAACTTCTGTACATCACACGACCTGCATTTGTCTGTTGTCATCTGCCAAATGAGAATGATAACTACCATATTCAGCTCATTGAGTGATCTGGGGATGAAGCACATTGAAATATTTAAAACCTCCAGAGCAAGCACAGGGCCAAGACTCAGTAACTTTTTACTGCTTGTATTCATATAGGAAAAAGCAGAATCACTAACACCTAGGGAAGAGAAAACCCAGCAGACACTGGGGCTGTGTTGCAGGAACTTTTCCTTTACTGCAAATGAAGGGGTAAGACAGGGCTGCTCGAACCTGGACTGCTGGGTTCGACTCCCACACCCACCACGAGCTAGCTGTGTAACTTCTGTACATCACACGACCTGCATTTGTCTGTTGTCATCTGCCAAATGAGAATGATAACTACCATATTCAGCTCATTGAGTGATCTGGGGATGAAGCACATTGAAATATTTAAAACCTCCAGAGCAAGCACAGGGCCAAGACTCAGTAACTTTTTACTGCTTGTATCATCTTTTCTGGTATCACAAAGCACAAGTTATAGTGGATATTTCCTCGTGAACCTGGATCAGAGGTGGGATCTGCTCTCAAACCCTGTGGCCTGTCACCTTTGAGTTGCTCTCTCTCATATTCCAGGTTCTCCAATGGCAGTACCCTCCATATGGAAGAAAAAGAGGGGGGTCATGCTGGCTAAGATCACCATGATAGGTATTTTTGTCTTTGTTTCTGCAGGGTCTGTGTCACACTGTGTTTAGGCCCCATTGCTCTTATGGAGCCCAATTGTTACTCCACAGAGAAGTCTCATCCCTTTTTTTTACTTTACTTTTCTTTTTTTTAATTATTCATTTAATTTTTATTTATTCATTCTTTTATTTTAATTTTATCAAAGAGAGAGACAGAGAGAGACACATACAGAGAGAGCAAAAGTGAGAAAGGAAGTCATTTGGTCAAGAACTCGAACCATGGTTGGCCATGGGGGAGTGTCCAGTGCCTTAACCACCACACCACCTGCCAGTCCTAAGAAGTCTCATCTTGATGGACAAGCAGGTAGGTCTTGTTAAACTTTGTGCTGAGGGAAAAACATGAGAAGGGAAATGTGAATAGATCACAGAATGGAAGGGTACTGGGAGCAGGGGGATCAAACGGATTTGCAAGTAGGTCTAGCTGATTCTTGGCTATATTCTCTGACCCAGATCTTTTACTTCTATTCTTCAAACCCAGCTGGCTTTTTTATTTCTTGGGACACACTTTCCCCTTAGTGCAATGGACTGAATGTCTGTGTCCCTCTCCCCAGAAACCATAAGTTAAAATCCTAAGTGTCAGTGTGAGGGCATTAGAAGGCGGGACCTATGGCGATTAGGTCATGAGGTGGAATCCTCATGAATAGGATTACTGCCTTGGAAAAAAGAACTCCAGAGAGCTCTCTTGCCCCTGTTCCACCATGTGAGGACACAAGGAGAAGGGCTGTCTGCAGCCCAGAAAAGAGCTCACTGGAACCCCACTATGCTGGCATCCTGATCTTGAACTTCTAAACTCCAGTTTGTGAGAAATAAATGTCTGTTAGTCATAAGCCATCCATTTTGTGGTGTAGCAGCCCAGACTAAGATAGTCAATATGTGGAGACTGTCTCTCTTCTTAAAAATATTTATTTATTTAAAAAAAAGTATTTATTTGCTGTGGTTTTCAAGCTGTCAGGTCCAGGACTTGAACTACAGTCAGCCATGTGGAAATCCAGTGCCTCAACCACCACACCACCTGCTGGCCCCAGTGGAGGTGCTTGATATTCCAACAGCATCACATACATTGTTGTAAGGTCTTATTCTTACATATGAGTTACTTTGTTCTTTCTTATACGCTCTTCATATCCAAACGGGATGAGCAGAATCTTGGGAATATTTGCTGTTCATTGATGGCTTAGGTATATTTGCTGTTTGTTTGTTGGTAAAGATGGTATTGATGGTATTAAATTCAACTCCAGCGTTGTTGGAAGTCTTTAGTATGTGTGTATGTTTAACAAGATAAGAAATCATGTCAAAAATTCAGTCAGGTCAGCTGGTGACATATTAGTTAAAATGGCTGGGTCCCACATGGCTGATTATGTGGTTTAGGACCCAGACTCAGAAGCTTGAAAAACACACTGGGCATATGTGTGTGTGTGTGTGTGTGTGTGTGTGTGTGTGTGCATGCCCAGAAATCCCAAAAGGAAGGAGAAATGGAGGAGAAGGGGTTTCAGTGTGGCCATCCCTGTGGGGTGATTTCTCACTTTCTTTCTCTCTTTCTGAGTGCAATTGCCCTAAAAAAAAAAAAAAAAAAAAAAAAAAAAAAAAAGGAGGAGGAAGAAGAAGAAATTATTGTTTGTGACTTCTAACATCTGAGTTCTCTTGGGTTTAGTCTCCATTGATTAGTTTTTGCATTGAATATGGATTTGGTCTTCCTCTTTGTTTATGTTTAGTGATTGTGTCTTTGTACATTGTAGAGAATGGAATCCGTTATGTTTTCATAACAGAAACATAAAAGCATAGATTATTTTTCTCTCTGTAGACAATTACTTTGGCTAAACTTGAGCTCCATATTCTGAAATTTCAGTTCAGTTATTTTAGGCTTCAGTGGACTGCTTGGTCTCTGCATGTACATTCTGGCTTTACCCAGAGACCTGAACAAAAGTTATGCCTAAATTTTGTGGTACCGCCTTTGTGGCTCTCCTTTTCCATAGCTTTCCCCTCACTTTGCAGCCTCTGTGGTTAGACTGACCTTTATCCTTTGGGTATTTTCTTCTTCTTCTTCTTTTTTTTTTTGAGAGCGATATTTTTGCTATACTGGAGAAACAGAAAATGAGACATCATCCCCCAGGGTTATGGTCACTCCTGGAGAAACAGAAAGTGAGACATCATCCCCCAGGGTTATGGTCACTCCGCAATCCCTTCTCCTCCATTCTCTTCTCAGGATTTTGGACACACACACACATGCACCCAGTGTGAGTTTTAAGCTGACAGGTCTGGGACTTGAACCATGGTTGACTACATGGGAGTCCAGTGATGTAACTGTTACACCATCTGCTGGTCCCTATCCTTTGGTTCTTTTGACCAATAAGACTATGGGGGTCTATTTTGGCTTCAGTCATTTTGCATGGTTCTAACCATGGCTTCAGGAGCACAGTTATTTTATAAAATGGAAAACTTACTCCCCTTCAAAGTGTCAACACTCCTCAAGGATCTGCCTGCTCTTTTCACTCCTTACTGAACTCTAGTGTTCTCTACAGGTAAAGGAGTCCTCTCTAACAGTGGTATCGCTTTCTGTAGTTTCAGTTACCTGTGGTCAATGCAGTCTGGAAATAGATTGAGTACAGTGCAGTAAGATATTTTTAGGAAGGGTGGCAATAGAGTGAGACCACATTTATGTACTTATTACAGAATAAGTTTGTCCAATTATTACTGTAATCTCATACTGTGCCTGGTTTATAAATGAAACTTTATCATGCATATTCACTTATAGGGAAAACATAGTACATATAGGATTTTGTACTATCTGCAATTTCAGGCATCCCATGGGGATCTTGCAATATCCCTCAGGGATAAGATGGGATAATTATAGTTGATTTTTATATTTTGTCCAGAGTCTTTGGTTATTATTTGCAGAAAAGTTGGTTCAATAGAATTTGCTCAGCTATACTGGAAAAAGAAACTGTCCTTTGTTATAGAGTTTGGCCTTGAAAACTTTTTTATTTTTTAGGTTTGCTGTAGGTATGGACAGTTGCCAGAGATATATAGAGAGAGGCAAAGGGAAAGTGAGAAATCACCTCCCAGAGGGGATGGCCACACCGCGTTCCCTTCTCTGTTTTCCTCTCGGGATGTTGGGCACATATGCATATGTGCCTGGTGCGTTTTTCAAACTGCCAGGTCCAGGACTTGAACCATATTGCCAGCCATGTGGTTATCCAGCTACCTTAACCACCATACCACCTGGCTGGCCTGAACACTTTTTTTTTCTTTTATATACCTAATAATATCAATATTTTGTTGCCTCTGAGTCATAGTTAGAAAGCCTTT